GCCCCCGCCCCGCGCTCCCCTGAGCGTTTGGAATCCTTCCCCAGCCGGCCTGTGCGCGGCCTCCAGCCGCAGCGGGGAGATAAACTCCGCCACGGGAGGGAGGGCCGCGGCCGTCCCCCCCCGCCCGCTGGGAACCGACGGCGGGGGGGCAATCACAGAGACGGGACGGAAAACAACGGAGAGAGGAGCAGCTTTAATGAAGCGAGGCAGGTCAATGATTTATTAAAAAAAAAGTTTGCAGATTTTAAACAGTTGATGGTTTTCGTTAAATAAAGGAAGTGCCACAAAACTCTCCAAAAAATGCCTTTCAGTGGAGCTTTATTTTCGATGCTGCTCTGTGTGCTACCCCTATACCACCACAAAATCGTAAAGCTAAAAATTCAGGCAAGAGTGCAGTACCTCTGCCCCTGGAGTCCCTTCAGCAGCAAGGAAGGAATGAGGAAAATGTTAAAAAAAAAAAAGTTGACTTCCCCAAAAACATTAGTGTAACTTTTTTTTTTTTTTTAATTTTCACTTCCTTTCCCTGGTTCTCACACCTGATCCTGCCTTTCAAATCAATGCCAGTAAGAGGAATCAAAGATCCTTCAAGCCTGATATGGAATATGGCACTTCAGTCTTCCGCCGTAGGAAGCAGCGTGGGGATGTGGTGTGGGCACGTCCCCCTTTACCCAGCTACAGCAGGTACTTGCTTACCCCAGTGTCAGTATAAACCAGCACAATTTCTGGAGCACAGCTACACACATTGAACTGATAGCCCTCCCCGACACCCTGCTGGAGAGCGCACGAATACCTTCATTCTCCAAAGCCCAGCAGCTTTTGCATCAGTGCTGATGGTCTCTCCACAGGTCAATAAGGGCACCACAACAGTCTGTTCTGCTGGGAAGGAATGACTGGTCCTGGTAAGGGGAATGATCACAGGAGATACCTGCCTTTTCCAGACCATGTCTAGATGGGCAAGAGCCTGTTCAGCCATCACAACAATTACACCAATACTCACAGAAACATAAACTGGTATGTAAATACTTGTTCCTCCTCTAACATTGTAGCACCATTTGTAATTGACCCTCTCTGCCTCAACAGTTTCAGTCTAGGGGAAAAAAGCCCAAAAAGCATTTATGCAAGACAACTCCAGATTCTCAGCACCCATTCAAACTGGTTTGCTAGGAGTTGTAACTACTAGAACACTGCAAAGGCAAGGAATTACATCGAGGACTATGTTCCCCCCTTATAATTCAATGTTTCAACAGTGCGTTTATTATTCACAGACAATTTGTTTTGAAAGACAGTATCTAAAATAAATGATCACAGGTCCTCTTCTCTTATTTTCTCAAATACACAGTCGTCTTCATTTGGCCTAACCAAAAATCTTTTCCTTGATATAAAACCTGAATGAACTACCTGCAATGAAACAAATAAAACAGTTAAAAAGAGTATATGCATTTCAATAATTATAGGTAGATACAAATATAAGCTAGAAAATCTGACATGATACTGTTCCAGTGCAGTGGTTGATCCCTTCAAGAGCTTTCAGAGAGAACAGGTTGGGTTTTTTTCTGCTGTAATAGGACACAGGAACAGTTGTTTCTGCTCTTAAGGCTTATTGCAACATACTACATGTGCTGCAGATTGAATGGCTGTTCCAAATGTGCTGACATCAATGTTATTTAGCATTATAGTGGCCACAAAGACACACAGACAGGTACTTTAACTGCCTACTAGGCCTTCTGAATTAGATTGACTGCTGTAAACCATGTATTCTTAACTTTAACCATAACACCTGCATAATATCTTTCAAGTCTACTTTTCCTAAAAAGTACCATGTACTGTCTGAAACTTCCTAAGACCACATCACCTGGCAGGTATAAGCAGGCCAACTATAAGCACCCAAGGTATAAGCAGGCAACCTATACCGCTCCATTGCATGTACCTGCAGTTGTCTGTTGTACTAGGAAAATTTATGGCACAGATTTGTCTTCTTGCAACATGGTATTTTGATATATATATGTAAAGTAAATGTCCTGAAAAACCCTACTGAAAGTGTCTATCACAAAGCTATGGCAACCATACTGCAATAACTAACATTAAGGCGTTAGGAAACTGGAACCAAATTTTGCATAATTTTCTCTGTAGAAGCTTTTTCATACCTCTTTTTTCAAGGTTACTGAAAGACATAACAGCAAAATTGCCTAGATGCAGGCACATTCTACAGCACAGCCTCCCTATCTGCAAGTCCAACTATTGCACACTAGTTAAATCATTTTTACCTCAATTCAAAAAGATTGTTCTTGATTCTACTATGCTCCTAAAGGATCACAAAGAAAACCAAAGTTGAGTTTTTCTTCTCATGAGTCAGCAAAAAATATTTGGCTTAAGGTTTCAGAGTCTTTGGACAGCATTCAGTTAAATTTTCTGCCAATTTGGAGCAAAGACTTTTAAGACTCTCAAGGATACTAATGGCAAAATTATAAAGACCCCACTCAAACAACACTTTCAAATGAGAATGTACAAAGATAAACTTTTAATACATTTTTCAAGTGTATTGCAAATAGAGGAATAGGAAAGGCAAGCATTAAGAACCTTAATATTGCAATCGCAGCATTTAGAAGTTAGCTAAGCATGTTTTCAGATTTTATAATAATTCTCCATCTAATAACACAGTTTGGTGCATGAAGAGCTGAGCCACTTTAATTATGCTGTATAAAATGAGGCATAACACGCCATACAATGGCTCTTTAATGCAACAGCATACCCTGACTTGCTTTAACAACTCCATTCTAATTATCAGCTGTCATTTTCTTAGTTCACTGAGTTTCATATCAGCAGTCAGGCATTGCACCAATAGGACACAGCTGATAAGCTCAGTGGTTTTATGTTGCCCTGTCCAAGGCTGCTCTCCTCACAAAAATGCAGAGGGAGCATTCACAGTTCATCTTGCTCACAGCTGAGGAGGTATGTTAAAGTATGTCCAAGTCAGAACAATTGCCTCAAGCCCAAAGTACTGCACAACTTAGTCTTTACTAGAGCTGCACCACAGTGAGGCCACTGAACCGCATCCTTCAGCCTTCATCACAGATGCAAGTCTATTCACAAAGTGTTGTCTCCCTTATTTCTAAGATATTTGTGGATACCAAAGGCAACACCTAACCTAGAATCTGTCTCCAGCAGTGGCACACACAGAGCACTTGGAAGAAAGAGGCAAGAAAACCCACCACACAGGTTAATTGATTTGCTTATTGAAGAGCAGTTAGTGATTGGTTTTATGCTGTTTCTGAACATATAGCAACATTACTTTTTTTCTGATTTCAGATTAGATTTTGGTCTTTCTCTTTTAGAAATGTCCCCTTTGGCCAATCATACACTGTAATAGAGGTATTTATTTTAATTCACTTTACATTATTCCCTTTCCATTTATTTATTATCTCATATTCAACAAATGGCTTGGAAAAGCAACATCTTTTAGCCATTTAGCTATTCAGGAACTATTAACTATGAATACTGATTCCAGCAATGAACTTAGAATTACATCTTTTACATATCTATACATATACATTCCTATCAGGTAACATGTCAAATTTTGCAAATGGGTACAACTCCCGACTACAGGGAAAAATGAATGCATAAACAATCCCAGTGCGGAATCCAAGTACAAGTCTGTAAACTACATCAGCAGTTTCATGAGTACATAATACAACTTGATCTCTGTTTATATCCTGGCTTTCTGTAAACTTCAAATGTCTCATTCAGAAACACTTGCAAAAAAGCAAATAAAATGAAGCAAGTTGTCCTTAAACCCACCAAACTAAAATTATGTTTTTATTCAGACATGTTTCTTGCCTCCTTCTTCCTTCCAAAATTCAAGTTTAGCTCCTTTTCCTACCCAAAGAAATTCCCATCAAATTAAGGAGTATTCCTAACCAGAACAACAGAGGTTGGCCTAACACCACTAGCAAGCAAGATACTATATTTACATTTTGGAGACACTCTCTCACTCACTAACCTGCTTTTGTTGGATGCTGGATTTCTTACTGTTTTTCATGGATTCAGGCATCTTGATCTCCTAAATATATTGAAAAATTTAAACTTACAATAAGCTTAAATGCTCCCCCCAAGTACTCTAACAAAATACACTGAGTAAATCAGCATTCAGTTAAACTCAGCAGAAACAATGTAGGAAATGAACTGCATATTTACCATTCTCTCATATTTCTGTTTTAGTCCAAGCTACCTGAATACTATCAACAGCTGACTATTTAAGTAATGAATGTTCATCTTCCTAATTAGAAGTTTACTGTACTTCCACCATTACAAATAAACTTAGAATGAAAGAGATCAAATCTTTTCCAAAATTAAAATTGGTTCTTCTGAATTGCTTATAGTTTAAAGCTACGAAATAACATGGCATTCACTGCCTCAATTGCTCACTGTAATCAGTATGGGTGTAGAAAATCACACACGTTCCTTTAACCTTGTGACATCTAAAGACTTTGAATGTCTGTTAACTGAAAACTTCTGAAGAGAAAAAAGTAAACAAAGGCATTGTTAATGCTGGAAATTAAGGATGAAAATATGTTTAGCTCCTTGTTATTTTTAAAAATAAAGGCCTGCACAAAAGACAGCAGAAGTATTTTAGCTACAAATCAGATTTTTATTTTATTAACACTTCTATTTAAAACCAGAAATTTTCTTGGTGTGAATGTCACAGATCTCAAATTGGTCTAACAGACGCAGCAGATGGAGCAAGCAAGTGAGGTGGTGAAAGAGTGAAAACCAGAAATGGATACAACAGGGTAGTACAGAACATACAAAAAATTATGCCATAGACATCCGTTATCAGATGCAGCAAAAATTAAAGTCAAGGAGAGAGAATGCAAAACAGATTATTAAAACTGCAATGATAAACCATCTTTAACATTCAAAATATTATTTCAGTAAAACTGAGCAAAGTCATACTTTTTAGCCAATTAATTCTGTACTGAAATGTTGGAACATGCAAGATCCTTTTCCTCAGTGGGACTTCTCAGCCCATTTGAAAGAATGATCAAGTAGCAGGCTTATATTTTTAAATACAAATTCAGATACCAACATACACACATGCTCACCATTTCTTTGCCTTCTTTGGCTGCCTTCATCATCTGTTCCGATATCATTTTCTTCAAGCAGCTACTGAGCAAAAAGGCCTAAAGAGGATAAACCAGAGAACACTCTGATTTCTTCTATTAAAAGATGTACTCAACTCTTCCATTCCTCCTCCACCAGAAAATTACAGTCCCTAACTAGTGAACTATTACTTCCCTAATTCAGTTAGTTTTACTGTGCTTTAGCATCCTTACAGAGTAACAAACTAGCTGCAGCTGCTGAAAGCCAAGCTTCAGCATGACTAACCCTCACAGCACTGCTCAGAGTGGAGTATAAGAACTTTTATGACAGGTTTTGTGAGGCAAGTTAGTCTCTCTAGTTGCTCATGGCTCCTACCTTAATGGCTGCCAAATTACACTAAAGGCTAAGTAAGGTTAATCAAGTATGGCACTATCAGCATCAAAACCACTTCAACAAATGAAGCAAGCTGGAGTTCACAGGCATTCAGCACTGCTGAAAATCAAAGTCCTGGTGGTTACACAAGATGGCTGCAACTAGAGCCGCTCACAAGTCTGCATCTTTCACAGCTAATATAAACAGAGCCAGACGCATTCATCCCACATATTAGGTATCCAGTAGAGGCACCTCAGAGGGGAGTAGAGTTGTTCTCAGTTCCTTATACTGTCCAATGAGCACATGCACCTCCATGGGAGGGTGCAGCCCAAGTTAAAGTCTGAACTGCACCCTGGAGATGCACTCTACTACTTACTCTCTAAAATGAAGCATCTCAGGTAGGGCATCAAGCCCTGACAGGCAAAATATCCTACAAGATCAGCAATGGAGGGGAGAGCCGTCTCTGACTAAGTTCCAAATCATCCAGTCTTTCCATTTTCTACAGTGGGTTCTTGGATCAAACCCTTGTTTCTTACACACAGCAGCACCTTTCTGGCCTTTAGCTCTTCCTCACACTTCTGAGGAAAGTGGGACACGGGTTTTTTAATCAACAAGTCACTACATCAAGCACCACGCAAACAGATTTCACAGAAGAATTAAGACTGAGGTAATTCTAGGGATTTTTGTTTTCCAACAGCACAGAAACTACAAAGTTTACTGCTTATGTCTCACATTCTCATTAAAAAAAAAGAAAAACAAGCATGGCAGGAAACTAACATTTACTAAGTAGCTGTATGAATTGCATTGTCACCCCAGAATTCATAAGGCATATGTGAGAAATTAAGCACTTTTACTTGAAAAATCCTGTCTGCTGCTGGGTGGGTCTTGGAGGCAAGAGAAGCAGTTTACTTGAATAACAGGCTCTATATTTTTTTTATAGAAGCTCTGTACCTAAAGTGAGATTGGTGCTGTCTTGATACTGCAGAGCTTTGATTATTTGCTAAGCAGCATAACCACAGATGGATGACTTGAATTCCTGGATACCTTTCTCTTTAAAGAGCTGCCTGAAAATAGTGGGAGGAATAACAACCTATAAAAACCTTATTTAAGAATTATTTATATGTTAAAAATATTCACACCCTCCATTAACCTGTGTTAATACAGCATATATTTATATTCAAACAATATAATTTATTGTGGAAAATTGGAGCCCTTTACCTTAGGCACATTAACCAATTAATGATTTTGGATACTTACTGAGTCCATTAAACAAAGAGCATCTCTCCACACTCCCTCCTAGTCTTGCTACTGAGTGCTAGACATTTCAATGAGGAAAAAAAATAAATCATCCTCTTCCCCGTATACTAGAAACTCAAATGCTTTTCCCCAGACAACTCTGTCCCTAGGCTAACCTACTTGAAAGCATAGCCACTGTACTCTGGTACAGATGGACTAACCACTTTTGAAGATGCCCTGTGGCTGCAAGATTACATTTTCCTCTGATCCTTTCCTAAAAGGACTGAGAACTAACCTGTTTTGTGTATAAAACTATCCACTGCCATGTGCCTGAATCATTGTACTCAAATCTGAGTTCCAGAGTGTCATCTTCACCATCCTTTGTAGCACCCTGGAAAAAAAACAAACAAACGCAAAACAAGGCCCAAAACAACCAACCAATGAACAGAAGAAACAGCTGAAAACAGCATTAAGGTGTTCAGCCTTAAATTAGAATTAGTCAATTAGGTTCATTTTATATATTACATAAATAAAACAGCTGAAGATCTGTACCAGAACACTTCTCCTGGGGGAGGGAGCAAGTGGGAGGTAGGAAGGGGGAGTCTTTACAAGCATAAAGCTGGCTAAAGCAGTTATTTTGCTCCCACACAAAACTCTTGACAGCTCTACCTCCAACAGGAAAGGAAAGGGCCAGGTAAGGTATGACAAGGAATGCCAGGGAAGGGAGAAAACAGCAGAGTAAGGCTAGAATGTTTACTGCTGTAAAGGGTGCCAAGGCCATATGTTTCAGGATGGGTCTGGATTGGAGTATGGGCAAGTGGGAGGGACATAAGACAGACCACCTCCCTCTCCCCAGACCTGATCTTCCCTGACAACCTCAGTTTTCATGAAGAGAAAGTGAATTCAGATACAAAGCCAATGAAGTACTTACAAGAAAAGCAACCTGCCAACTTCTTAACCTGTTGATTTTAAAGCTAACCTCTTTGATTTGGTTAGTAGGCAGTTTTATACAGCAGTTAATCTCATTGTTGCCAACATAGATGTCAGCTGAGCAACCTTCTTCTGGATAGTCACAAATGCAAGGATCAAGCCGTATGTATCCATAGACCTGCATTTCTCGAATCAGCTCTAGGAACTGCACAAAAAAAACAGAACTAAAATGATTAGCTGTAAAGGCAAGTGAAATCTAGTGATTTGGGGCGGGGGGTGCACAGAAAGGCTACAAGAAATCTTTTAGATTCTGAATACTCTTTCTCTTGGGAGACACAGATTCACCACAACACATCAGTGCTTCATATAGAGAATACTGTTCACAGTCCAGACTTAGAACGTTGGGTTTTTTTCCTACCCACTGGATATGATAAACCAGAAATACATACACAGAAAGCTTTTTTTTTTTTAAACCAGGTCTTTTGGATGCTTTTCAGATACAATGATGGGGAGAAATAAAACTAACTATAAAGAAATACTGAGAACAGCAGTCTGAACTTCCATCTGATATCTTAAACTGGATGACAAACCTTTGCACCTGAGTTCAGCAAATAGAGGAGACTGGGATTCACAGTCAAAAACCTTTTGCTAGCCCTTGGGATCCAAATCATTCTGTTGGGATAAATGCTATCAGAGACGGGAATCTCCTTTTCTATTTGGTGGCTCAGTATCTGACCAGGAGATGGGAGACCTGGGTCTCCAGCTCAAACCACTCCACAAAACCATGCCTTATTTTTAAAGTCACAGCCTCTAGTATCATTGCTTCAGAAACCATTCCTTTGATCTGTTTGTATTGTTTTTAAAATACTATTTTACCTTTGCTTTGTTTGCATTTTTTTGTAGAAATTCAAGTTCCTGCATCTGCCTTTCTGTTGGTTTAAGCCAATTCCTCTTAACTTCCTGGATTGCCTTGAAAGAATTTTTTAAAATAGCAAAAAAAGTCAGCAAAAACATGTTTCCTTTCACACACAAACATTCAGAAATACATACACAGAAAGTTTTTTTTTTTTTAAACAAGGCCTTTGATTTTGGGTCAAGTCCACTCTGCACTGTTCTTTCCTCTTGAATTAATAGTTTCCAAAGCTGCTAAAACTCAACTCACCTACAGTTTGGAAATCGAATGCTCTCTTATCATGGCACACACACACTTGAAAATAAAAGTGGACTAACACCTAAATATGTCCTTTTCATGCAATACTTTTCCCATGCACAAAACAGATTCTAACTCATCTAGTACATGAGTTTGAAGGAAAAACAAACCATCAAAACATGATCAACAGCAGCTATACTCAGCACTTAGAAAAGCACCACAAAGCAGTGCTAAACAGAAATAATTTACAAACATTTCAAGAATTTGTATAAAAGATTAAATTAATGCAGGAAATTTAACTTCTAAAGTTACAAACACCTTTCAGTTTTACCTGCATATATAGCAGATCCAGTGAAGCTCTACAATCCATCAGCAGCGTATCAAGAGAAGGATCCATATACCTTTTCCAAGCCAATGGAAAAAAGTAATAAAATATGAATATATGCTTCTACATACGGCATTTTGATTTTTCAACTAAATATGATGGGAACACAACCCTAAAAGATCCCATTACTTACCAAATTAAAAAAAAACCTCAACCCACAACCCACCAAAACACAAAAAACCCAACCAAAACCAAAACCCCACAAAAACACCCCAACCAAAAATCCTTCTGCCCTTGAAGTACTGTACTCATTCTTTATACACTGTAGCAGAATGGAAATAAACTAAAGTCAGGTTATCCAATCTCTCCACTTTGATTTTAGTGGTACCAAACATAGCAGTTAAAATTTAGAACTAAAACTTTGCTCCTCCTTTCTCAAGCAGCTCAGCTGATAAGACTCCCAGAACATCCATTGCCATGCTGCAGTGCTGACATGCAAGACCTAGGCTTAAGCTAGCTAGCTGCAGTACCAATTACTGTAGAACTGCTGCAGGATCAGATCAGGACAGCAAAGCAAGTTAAATACTCAGTTATCCAAGTGCCATGCCGCAGCAGCTAGCTTGAGCCATTTTATTTAAAGCAGCTTGTCTAAGTCTACATGATGGTACAGAGTGTGGGGGGGGGGTCCATGGCTAGCACAGCTGTAGTACTCACATTGCACAGGCAATACGCTCCCTGAAGCACACAGACAAGCCCAGGACTGCTATTTCCTACCTCTGTGCTTTGAAGCAGTGCTAGATGGAGAAGTATCTACTCAGACAGTCACTTTGTCATGGCTTAGAACCACACAGTTCTTTCATTAGGCTGCTAGGTTCTGCAGTTTAAAAGGGCACATACAGAGAAACAGAGAAAACTTTGTAGAGGCCAAGGTCTAGCCCAGTAGATTTAAACCAGACAAATTACAAGCCAGAAACAACAGGTTTCTGTGTACCCTCAAGCCAGGCAACCTTGCTTGCTGCCACCAAAAGGCATGGTCTCTTCTTCTGCTCCCAACCACAGTCCTCACCCTAACATTCATCTGATGTAGCCAATACAACTCACTAAGCATGCAAAAATCTATTCCCCTTTTTCTTTCTCATTGTACAGAGAAGTAGACCAGACCACAATCACAGCAGTGAGACAGTAGACTGGCTCAGATATACTGCCTAACTGCACCCTCAGGGCACCATTTGTCAAGCAGGACTTTGGCACCAGACTCCCTGGGCTTTATCCTCACCCATAAGTCAGCACAACTGTTTACTGCACAGCAAACAAGACTGGGGGACTGATCCAGGCCAAAAATAGGCCAGCAAAACCAAATAAAACCCAAACAGCCACCAACCTATTTTTAGGCCAGGTTAGCTCACCAGTCCAGTTCACCACACAGTTCTACCAGCGTAACTGAGGAAGAGCCCGAGGTGTGAGCAATAAAAGGGGAAGAGTGCTCTGTTGCTTAAGCCAGGCCACTTACCAAAAGAAATACTCAGGCCATGGCCTCAGATATTATGTGCATTAGCAAGCACTTCATATAAAAAGCAATTCACCTCTGCCCAAACAGAGCTGCAGCCTGCAACTCAGAACTCAAAGTTCTCTTCCATATATAACTTTATTCCCATTTGTGGTTCCTACATTATGCAGGTATAAAAGTCAGGAGGCAAGCAGCCACAAAGCACCTCTCTATAGATTCTGAAAGAGAGAGGGAATAAATAACCAGCTACAGCAAAGGACATTTTGGGAATACTACAGTGATAAAATTTAAAACATGCAGGGCCACAGAAACCAGTCAATTCCAATAACAAATTGGTCTCAGAGAAAAAACAGTCAACTGTTGAGGCTTGAAGACTTTGTAACTAAGTTATTAAAGCAATTTCTCTCTGGCCACAGCAGTTATTGTACATCTTGGTAGTTCCTCTCAAGTTTCTCGCTCACCACTTTCTGATCCCAAGCTTACAGCATAACTCTTTCATGCTCTGAAGACTCACATAAGGAAGTTCAAATTCTGCCACTTTTTTCACCACTAGGAAAAGAAAAACCATAGACATTTGGTGAAATCTAGTGAAATAGTCCAGCTACTTTCATATATCTGTTAGTACTGGTTAGCAGTGTGCTTTTGAAGAAGAAAAACTTAAATATAAATTCTGGGGTAAAATAAGGTGAAAAGTTAGTTGACTTGCTCACTTCTCAGTCTAAACTTACATAGCTCTGTCACTTACAGAATATCTCTACTCCCCTAGACTATGCTCTCATAAGAACATCCTTCTCTCAAAACACAGCTAAGCAGGATAGAAGTTTCTGCATTTAAAGGACATGTGGATGCAAGCTTCCAGGACTGACACTCTTCTTGAATAGAGCACCAGAAAAGAGCAGTATAACTAATGTACAGCAAAAAAAAAAAAAAAAATCATGTCACTCTTCAGATGTCATTACTTTCCTGCTCACTTTAAAAAAAAAGTAAGCCTAAAGGCCCAAACCTGTAACCATTCATTTCTAAGGCAATACTATTCAGCAGAACTCTTAAATATGTGATTTTAAGCATGTAAGCATCTAAACTTTTTGGCAGTGGACGGTGGATTACATTTGTACTTGATGTATTTGTAAGAAAAAGATCCATAGAAATGTAATCAATTCAAGAAAACTTTTCTATTTCCTGTCTATCTGATTATATCACAATACATGGCAAAAGTAAATCCATCTGCAGCTGCTGTGGAAGAGTATATAACATGTGTTACATCCAGATATATCTGGGATGTAACAACAGCCAGGGATTCTCTGTACTCAGAGATACCTTTCACAGCCAGAGAGAAGGGGGCAGGGGAAAAATAAATACAAGAGACACAGACAGTAAGGTTCCTACCCCACTGAATAAACCTGAGTTTACTACTAGACTTTCATTTTGACAAGGTTCAGAACAGCATTAACATCTTTATGCCAATTAAAAGCCTGAAAAGACTGATTGTTAGACATTGGAATGGGCTGCCCAGGGAGGTGGTGGAGTCCCCATCCCTGGAGGTGTTTAAGAGCCGGGTTGACATAGCGCTGAGGGATCTGGTGTAGTTGGGAACTGTCAGTGTTAGGTTAATGGTTGGACTGGATGATCTTCAAGGTCTTTTCCAACCTAGACGATTCTGTGATTTTGAAAAGAACTAAATGACTTGTGAAGGCCACTCAGACAGGTTGCAATGCCTAACTTTACTGCAGTCAACAAAGACTGTTCACTTCCCTGATGCAGCCTGAGCCTATCTCCATCCCAGACCTGGATCCAGCCTCCCACATGAGAAGCAGGACATCAGCAGACTGATGAGGCATAAAAGCTCCTTCACATTTTATGACCATAAAGAGACTCACAACCCTGATTTACAGCTTGCTCAGTACCATCATGGTTAAACTTAAGTTTCTGTCAGTTAAGAAAGGAAACATGTCATGATATAAAGGAAAATGAGCCACAGACATTACGTTTATAAACATAACAAAAGAGTTTCCTGTCCCATTGTTAAACTCCACATGTGATCTGTAAATTAAGAACTGTTTTATGTAGGTATGGCCATCTGACTAAATGCCTACCCAGAAGATACACCTAACAGTTCCCATGTGGTAAAGTTGCTACATGACTTGTAAACTGGAAGGGACATGATATTTGTATGTGAATGTCTCACCCCTGCATCACACTATTGCCCTACTTTGTTCCCCACTACCACTCTTTCCCAGCCATCTGGGGAGAGGGCTTGAGGAGGTTTATCAGACAGAATGGGTCTTTCAGCCTGAGCAGGCTCCTGCAGGCTCTGTTCAGACTCCAGGTTCAGTCACTGCAGCCAAAAAAAAATTCAAGGGAGGGCTAAGTTAAGCACCTTGTAAAACTTACCAGAGAGCGCTCCATCATCATGATCTTGAAAGAAAAAAAAACTAAAATATTTTATTAATTCTCTTGAGAGCCCCATCCTGCACAATGTAACCTTTAAAAACAAAGAAGGTCAGAAGCTTAGCTATCCATTAGCATAAGGAAGAAATGTTCAATACATATTAACGTAACTTAATTGGTTTTAAATTTTCCCTTATGTCCCATTTAACTGCTCATTTAAAAGCAAATATAACCATTCCCATATTGCAGCATTTGAATTTGTGAGGAGTTTCATAAATTTCAAAGGAACATAAAATGTAATAAAACAGAAAATGTTTACTACTGTGCCATGTACTTAAGTATCCTCTAATGCAAGGCATCTGCCATGTTATTCCAGATCTTTAGTATGCAAATCCTCAAATCCTGTTGTACAGTGAGCACTGTGTGCTCCGAGCTAACAGCATTTCTCATGAGCATCACAAATATGTATTTTTACAGAATTGGTGTATTTTCCAATCTGATAGTGTTCTTGTTTTTCTAGGAAATTTCTAAAAGTCCTACACCTTTACTGAAAGCACTGGTCCTACTTGTGGGGTTCTACAATTCTGTGTGAAGGCTTTTGACAAGAGCAGACTTGAGCTCTGTTGAGCTTTCATTATTGACAATGTACAAGGAGGCAAAATCCTATCCATCTTGACATTTGGATTGTTTTAGCTTGCTCTGGCCCCTATACATCTTCTGGCAGAAGTAGCACCAACAGAAAATGCAGAAATTACTTGCAGGACCAGCTGCACAATGGGATAGTAAGGACAGAAACATCAGGCAGAGGTAAGCACAGAAACCACTGAATGAGACTGGAGTAACAGTCTTGTTCTGTTCTAGGTCCTGAAAAATCAAAGCATAAATTAAAGCAGACATAACCTAAAAGAGAACAGTGCTATCAAAGCATTCCTAAATTCTGCAGTAACCATAATCTGAATTCACTCAGGAAAGTGGTGTGGCAACTGTAAGAAAAACTCTCCACCCCTGAGCACACTCCCATCATAGCTCATCTGGCAGATTGTGCAACCTGATAGAGGAGTCATGCTTTGGTCAGAGAAGCTGGACTTTGTCTGAGCATAAAGTGGAAGTACCAGTTTTCAGTCTTCTTGCAAAGGGTGCTAATCCCAGAACACTTCCAGCCCTGTGTCACAGTGACAGCATTGTAAATTCACTTACCACAGTTCAGAAGGGTTTTCTCCAGCTGTATCAGCTTGTTTAAAAAGCAGACAAGTTTTTAAGCATGGAAGAAAGTAGACATCAAGCTAAATATACCTTGGGAAGCATTGTTTTAAGTTAAAAAGCACATTCATGAGGTTTTTCTTATACTTGTTAGTATCAGAGCTGTTACCGGAGAGGGCAGCAGAGCATAAAAATCACTTGCCTCACACTCAGTTCAGACACCAGGCATAATGGGAAAAAAGTTTCAGAAGTCCAAACACAAAAGAAAAAAGTGAATATTGGCAGCACCATCTTTCATTCTGTCCGCTTCTATGCTAAGAAATCCCCACAAATTACTGGAAGAAATCAGCCACAGAGCTTCAACATATTATCCCTTGTGTACCATATGGCATTTCCCAGGAATGTCAAACACAGATCTCTGATTCAGTAGGATTTTGACTTATTTTATTTCTTGGATCAAAGCACAAGCTGGCATATGCTGCCTGAACACCGGGATGTTAGGGAGTGATGGTTGCAAAAATCTACCTCCACTGCAAAAAAACACTGAATGTGGTAGCACATTTACAATGACAAAAGCTAAATAATTCCTAAAAGTCCTATCACATCTTTAAGGCCACAAGAAAAGAAATGGTGTCTGCAGCATTTCAAATGTCATTGATTCTTCACAGTGCCACATAAACATTAAACATCTATAAATACAATATACAAAGCAACATACACTGTCTGGCTTGGAAATGGCCTTGACCCACTGCAAAACTAACAAGTCTATCAAGACCAAATTATTAGGGTTTTTTTAACAAAGTAAATTAGCAAATCCTTTCCTTACTCAAGGTCCTAGTGCAAGTCTCCTACCTAAAAATGTGTCCTTACTTCCACCTTATTAGCACTTACTTCCCTCTTCCCAAATCAAAATTCCTAACTCCCTGCCACCCTTCAAGACTTTTTGCCTTCAGCATCTCCTACCCCACCCTCAGCCTCCACAAGTCTGCTGTTGCAGGGTCTAAGGCCAGCTCTGACATTACCTTCCCAAAAGAACCAGCACTGCCTCAGATGGTGCAAACCCCATAGCAGAACAAAGCTGGCAAGGGGTTACCCTGTGTTACCCAACTCATGGTAATTGTGCACAGATACTGTGTGTTCTGCGGCCAGACTAACACACATCAGCTTGACAGAGGAGAGCAAATACACATTGGGCTGGCTTGTACCTATGGCCAGCTGAGAGCTACCTCCACAGACTCAGATGGCAAAGGCACAACAGGAACACAGCACACAGTTTTCTGTATGATCAGAGGAAATTTCAGATTCCCACGACAATGAAGAGTATCCATCTGGCATATGTATGCTTTATTATTGTTGTTAATGGAAATGGAAGCAACTGAGGAAGAGATTTCAGTCTTGCTCATGCACACACACATGCAAATACACAAAATATGCAGAGTGTCTGCTGCTCCTCCTCTCCTGGCATAAGAAGGGAACCCCATCTGAAAGTTTCAAACACAAGCCAGCCAGTTGTGTAAATAACATTTGGTTGCTACTGGTTTCAAAATGCAACTAGCAATTGTTTACTCTGTGTATTACAACAGCTGTTATAGACATCCCAGAGCCACAGTGCTAGAACTGCAGCAATACTGCAAAGGAGGTCCCACAGTTTCACAGCAAACGTCAAGGGACACAGAACAAGTAAAAGGAGAAGCACACATAAAAGCAAGACATATCAGCTGCAGACTGTTTCAGTAGCAGTGCACCAGCTAAGATGTAAGCCAAGACTAGACCTTTGTTTCTGACTACAGTGTTCAAGCACCTTCACCCACATTATGCTAAACCAAGGGGGGGGTTAATTAAGAATGTGTCCCCATAAGGAATAGTATGTATTTTCTGATTCTATCACATATGAAGGAAACCTGAACTTGACAGCCAAATGCTATAGAAGACGGCACCTAACATTAAGAAGCGGTTAATTATGGACAAATGTGAGAACCAAAAAATCTCATCTGCAAAATCAGCAACACCCCAGAACCCTTACCCCTGGTATAATAAACCCCTCAAAACCCACAGAAGATATTCTCATATGTCTTCAAAAAGAAGATTTATTCTTTCTTGACTGAAATTATCTTCACTTTTGCCCACTTCTCAGAAATGGAAAATGTCAACACAATTCTAGAAACCCATTACCTCTAATATTCTTTCTGCAGTGTCCGATGTCTGGATATCAAGTCTAATATTGCTGCCATCAGCGAGGTAAACATCCAGAAAGGCTCTCTGGGTTTGGATCTTAAATGTATCCTGTTAGGAAAAAGCAGAACACTGTTTTAATGCTTTCCATATTGCTGGAACCCTTCTAAAGATGCTGATGCTCCATTTCCCTATCTACAAGTAAAAGAAACAATTGAGGTCACTATTTACTAAACAGTAAGTTACTAAAATTACCATTAAAGCCTGTAGATGACAAAAAAAAACATATGCAGAGCAACAAGTGGGAAGATACTGCAGAATTAGAGCAGGGGCACTTCAATGTTGAGCAGTCATTGTCCTAGGAAGTAGAGACTCCAAAAAGAGGAGGTGAATAAACAGCGGCATGTGAATCTTCAAAGCTACAGTCTTGCCAAAAGGGAAAAAAAAAAAATGCATCCCTGTACCCATAAATAGGAAAATCTCCAGTCAGAATAATGAGGCCAGGGTATCTTAATATACCAGAGCCACTGCTACTGGAATACTGGGCAGTGCCAATGCCCAAGGTTCAAAACCACCACAAACAAAGACGGGATATAAAGAAGAAACCTGAAAGCATTTAGGTCATGAGAAAACTTGTCTCGCCTAAGTGACCTCAGAGAACTGTCTTATGTCTAGACATAAAAGGGGTGATTTGCAATCTGGAAAGCTAAAGTACAAAAGCCAGATCCATTGGCTGTCAGCTGATGATAGACGCAGTCAGACTAGAAGCAAAGCACACATTTCTAACAGCAAGGTAGTGCACAGGAATGGGGGATCCTCCTCTGGGTTTATAACAAGACTATTCCCCTAAAAGATGTTGCTGAGCTCAAGGTTAGAAAGCCCCATGCCTTGCTATGCATAAGTCAGTTACTTGTTTCAAGAGGATGGAAACTAGTTTACGAACTCCCTTAGGGATGCATCTGGATGAGGTGGAGGAAACAAGCTCATCACTGCAGCTCCTCTTCCTGTTGACTGCCCTGTATCAGAGGACAGCAATGGTCCTTCTGGCATTTTTGTTAATTAAGGAGAGGTACTTCCCTTGAGATTCATAGTGGAGGAAAATGCTGTACATGCTTCATGCAACATTAAATTTTAATTTCTTGTATCCACTTTTGCTAGCCTGGTAGAAGATATGGGAGACTCCCTGGGAGCCCTTAGATTTCAAGTACTCTCAGTATCTTGCTGCAGTCTTTGTGATGCCTGTATATAGGAGCATCTCCCAACTCCTGTGATGTCAGCAAAAGCAGGGTGGCAGGGCTGACATTTATGCTGTGTTGACATTTATGCTGTGCCCCTCTTTGGGTACCCTGGAGAACAGGATAACAGGATGTATGACTCCTGTTAACTAACTCAGCTCAGATTAGCAACTTCTTTGGGTCAGAAAGACCACCTTTTCCTGTAAATCTGGCTTAATTAAGAGTTATTTCAAGATAAGATCAAGTGCAAACAAAGTGTTTTCTTCCACAACATCTAAAAATTAAGAACATGTTGTCAAAAGTTTGTAGAATGATATGTGGGAGGAAAAGGGTCTTGAGAAAAACCAAAACAAAACAATCTTTCTTATTTAAGCAGACTTCCCATGGATTTTCCTGACACCTAGTATTTCACCTAGCTACATGTCTACACATCTGTTTGCCTATATTAAAGAACAAGAGAACCACTTCAAGACATTAACCAATGCCCTGTCTGAAGTCCTTCTGGTGATCCATACAGATTTAGTCTTTATCCCCAAACTAATTTCCTTCTTATCCAGGAGGCAAGTCTAGTTATTCCTCTTAATTAAAATAAGCATTATTTTTAATCTGTGAAGATACAAAAGCCCCTTGCTCTCTTACATCAGGGATCATCTCCTGTGCTTGCCTGAGTACTTTACTACTTTGCTCAAATGGGAAGGAGCAGAGGCTTCTTCACAAATGCCTTTGGCACAGATATTTTGGTATGAAACACTTCACATGTGATAAAAATGCATGTGAAATGTGGAACAAACATGGAATGCAAACAGAAGAATGAGATAAAGGCCCCTAACATTACTGACGCTCAAAGAGTAAGCAGGTCTCTCTATATGGCAAATTTACTACCAGCAATGCTGGAGTGTGAAGTCAAGTGCAAAGGCTCACACATTGCAGTAAGCGCTTCTGGGCATGAGCTGCTAATGCTGAAGCTCCCATAGGGAAAGGACATGGAGGGCTTTATGCATCTACTTCTGCCAGATCCTCACGGCTGCTCCTGCAGCTTTCATAGCTGGGGTACAGCCACCTCGTCCACTGGGGCAACCCAGAGTCAAAGGTCACTTTGCCCTTCTGCCACTCCAAGGGCAAACAGCACCTCACAGCACCCTACCCAACTTGCCACCTCACTCACTACTCAGCAGTCAGGAGGGAAAGAAAACTTCAAAAACTTTCAAGCTACTTCCAAGCACTTTGAATTCTCCAAAACCACCATGCAACATAGTACTAGGCAGATTAATTCGAGGATCTACAAGAAAGGATATCTTAGAGGAAATAAAATCTCAGTCCCATCTAGAATGATCGCATTATCACCATTTAATACTTAAACCAGTGGTTTATACAGTCTTTTTTTTAAAAGCTGCTTTAGATTTATCTTACTTGACTCTACTGAACTACAGGCACAGCTTCATTTCATGGTCTTGGGGACAAATGACCCACTTCCTTATCTCCAACTTTTGATTACTGTTCTCTTAATACAGCTATGACACAGCAAACCAAATATAAGAATTATCCTAAATTGTTGAGTTTGGCGATTGTTTTTCCCCCTTTATTACCTGCTTTTACCCCAAAAGGCAGAACTGTCCATGCCAGAAACTCCATTGTTCAGTGTTCTAAATATTTGTTTAGCTTCTTATCAAAAGTATTGTTGAGACCAAAAAGATTTACTTACATTAAAAACAAAAGAAGGAAACAGTACAGTCTGTAAGGCAGAAGAAGGCAGTGTTAAGTGAAGAAACAGAAATACAGACATGTCCCTAAAACAACACAAGAGAATCCAGTATAAGCTTAAAACAAATACAAAGGGAAGAGCATTTAGCAGTGTTAGTGGTAATCCATTTAGTAAGCGCACATTGCAATCCAACTGCTTCCAAACTGGACAGAAGAATACTTTTGAAATAAATTTACAGCAGTGAGTCAGAAAAGTTCAGATCTTCTCCCAGGCTGCTATTTTAAATTTGGAAAAAGCAGTAGAGATGTTGTCCCATCTACTCAAAACAGGCACCAACATCCAAAAACCCTGTGTTTTGACAACAGTACATGTTCAGTAGTACCTTTCGCATTTCCTACACTTTTGCTCCTGAAATTCAGGAAACATGCCATGTAACTAGAATTGGACGCTCTCTTGTATCCCTGAATACTGCTTATTTTAATCTTCCCTTAATGCTGTCACTACTACTGGTGATAAAATCTCCTGAAATATCTAGAACTGCTTCCTAGTCCCCACTTGCTTGCCCTAGTAGCTTGAAGCACAGCTCAGTCATTAATATAAGAATACTGAATAATACAGAGGTGGTGAGGGATTTTCTTCATTTTTTTTTGGTTTTGATGAAAAGAACAGTTTTGTAGAAAAAAAAAACAACAAACCACAAACCAAAACCTCAAACACCCCCCACCCTCAATATATATGTATATATAGTTCCCTCCCAGTTTTCCATTAGAAAGCTTAAAATTAAGTGATTTTGTTTTAAGAGAAATCAACATCAATCTGAACCCTCAAGAGGATCTCAATGGATTTGTTGCTCAGCTAAGCAGCATGGGCCATAAAAGGAGAAAGGGCAAGAATGGAGGCCCTTATTACAACACGTTTTCAAAGAACAGCAGGTCAGGGGACTGAATTGCATCTTAATATTGAAACAAAAATAAAACAGACATCCTTGAATTAAAATTCTTCAGAGCTTTCCATGCCAGAAACCTTCCCCCATGGCCAGCACACAATAAAAGTCTCTGAGTATGGGAACTTCCCACATGAAATTCAGGTTTCTGGCCAGCTGCACTTTTGAAATAGAAGTTCATAAATAAGAAACCCAATGCGGTTTGATATGAAAGAAACAACCTTTTTAGAGCAGACCTGAAATCATAGATATTCAGCCTGACTTCTGTTTGTGTACATACACATCCAAACACGTTTGTACAAATGTACATTCCTCTACTACGTGCACAAATGGTAAGTGCATTGTGAGTGCAGAGAAGGAGAGGGTGCATGGTCAGAGACAGGGGCTCTATCCAAGAAAATGCAGCCCATGATCAGGCCAGCTTTGATTCCTGGTAACACCTGCAGATTTCTGAGTTACATTTTACCTATACTCTTCATACCATACACTCCACAGACCTCTTATGGTATTCAATTCTTGGCCTCACTCTTGCTCTTCCTAAAGAAAACCACCTTACATCAGAGTCCTTTGATGAAGGACCACATAAGAACACTGCTTTTTGCCTGTTATCTGGCACTGGTTGCCTCTATTTGCTCAAGTACTCAGAAACTTTTCATTGCTGCTTTCACCAACACCTGAATCCTTTTGCTCATGCTAAAGGTTGCTGTTTACCAGCAACAGACTGGAAAAAGGTCAGCGTCCTAGTAACAAACTCCAAACCTCTGCTGCTGCAAGGAAATAGGTCTCAATTTTATTAATAAATGCATAATGACTGGCTGTCCTCACAGCTGCATCCTGAACACACCATGTTATTCAATGGTGCCCAATAGAGAGAGAGACCACGATCTCCTATTACATTCAAGGATATAGATGAGTTGCATTAAAATGAGACTGACAGGGATGTATGTACCTGTTCATGCTGTCATCCTGATGAAAAAGGAGAAGATACAACACAGCCAGAGCGGTCTCATCTTGTTAATGACTTCTTGCAAGAACTGTGCCATTTGTCCTTAGGGGCTGGAGATAGTGAGGCATATACAGAATCTGTCTCTCCAGCTTGGTCACTGGCCAAGTTTGCAGAGTTTGGAGGAGTGGAGGAGCAGGGAGGTTATGGGTTAGGGTGTTCAACTCTGCTACACGACAGTACTGGTAACTATTTCAGCAATGTTCACTTTGAGCAAGTGCCAAGCTGCTTCCCCATGTGTCAGGAGGCCTGCTGTCCCCTGACAACTTCTCCCACGAGATTAGGTTGCTGGGGAAACAGCCTAAGCACGCCTGCTATAAGAAGAAAACCATAACAACCTATGCAACAGGTAAAGGTGGTGCTGAGCACAAACAGGGGCCTGGAAAGCAGGGTTAACCTGCATAGACTTGTCCCCACTTGGAAAGTTTGTCCTCTTAGATATGATCAGGGTGCTATAGCTGGGGGTTGGTGCAATGCCAAGTGCAGTCACAGAGGAGTCATGTTAAACACTGTCAGGCAGCTGCGGTAAAGCCATGGTCCTTGCACAGCGCTCCCACTCCAGAGACTGCTAGTCTTAGAACACCCTTCACAACCACATTCAGAAGTAAAATACAGGACAATGACCAAAAAGGTCTTAAATTCAGTTTGATTTTTCCTTTGCATCTTCTATTTTAGTCAGTAACATATACAAATGTCTCCAGCTAGAAGCTTAAATATTCCTGCTTTTAAGACAAGCCAAGAAAATGAAGCAAGCACTAGCAGACTGCCTGAGAGGACAGCTCTATTCTTTCTCACAATGAAAGACAGAAGTTAAGGTAGAAAGATTCAGCAGGAGAGTTTTTAGGAAAAAAAAAACCTAGCCTAGCAATCTCATTCATCTCCAGTGTCCCATCTTATTCCATTAAAACTGAAGGTTTTTACTATAAAAGCTGCACCAATTTTACCTACAGACAGATCTGTGCTCAATAAAGAGCTATGGTGGCAGAAAAGTGGCCAACTGCTCCCTGTTCATTGCCACCTGCAGCGCAGTCCCTCTGCCCCTTCTCCCACACTAGCTGGCAGGTTGCTTATACAGGTGTGCACTAACTCATTTCTGGCAACCAAGACTGACTACTCAAAGCCAGTCCATGTCACTGACAGAAAAGGAGCATGCTATTTCATCATTTTAATGATGTTTTATTCTTGAATCTTTCATTAATCATCCCTCTTCCAATGTAATATAAACAAGAGCAAGTTTGAGGTAATGCCTGCCTGGTTTTAACACTAAGTAGCAGTAACAGTGAAACCCTAACTATGTTTTCACTCCTAAGCAACGTGTAGGATGCCAAGCACTGCCTACACATCTTCAACAATGGAGAAGGAAGGAACAGTACAGAGGTGCTTTAAAGATGAACTTCATTCCATGTCTTTCAATACTTTACAGAAATTTTGTCACTCTGCCATAAAACATCTCACAGATCACAGTATACTAATACTGGAACATGCACAACAAAGCCAGTTTGTTGAGCAAGATTCTTTAATAGCCGAAATGAATACTTATTCAGCCATCAGTTACACCAATTAAAGGCACTGTGCACAGCTAATGACAGTGGATGCACTCCTGTCTTTCACAGTTATTTGATCTCTCTTAGGAGTTTGTTCTTTACTGTAATGAAAAAGCACATAAAGCACTACTGCTATTTGTATTATGAAGCAGTGATTTATGTTAAGTACAACCATTTAGTTTAAATTGGAAACAAAAAAAGCTGGAGAACTACTGCCTTTTCCAAGCAGGAAGCCTAAACATCATGTATGAAAATCCATCATATTGTGGAACAGAAATTTGGGTTAATTTTATGTCTTGAAAACATACTGACCATACACTAACATTTAAGGTATAATTCAGTGCCTACCTTGAACTCTACAAAATAACTGCTTTTGGCAGCACAGTCATCACATGCCTTAATAAGCACACTCACATACATACATAACCCATAAATCAACTAAGTATTACCCACGTACTTAGCAAGTCACCCCTCTTCATCAAAAGGGCCTGCAGTAAAGTAAAACCTAAATATACAACAATTTCTGGTGGTATGTTAAGAGTAATCCACAGTACTGGCATGCCAAGGCATCTTTAAGCACTGCAAACATGTATTTTGAATAGTTATTTCCTGCCAGAACTTTGTCAAAGAAAGTCAGTTGGCAGTTTTTGAGGGCAAATTGTATGCATTCCTGATGGATTTAACTTTCTTTAGCAGACCTGTTATCAGTCTCATCAAGACTAGTTAAGACTCAGCAGTAACTGCTGGGAGTTATCTCTTGGGCTATAACAGGCATTGGATCAGAACTAAGAGAGACTGCTTCTCGTAAAAAAGCCTAATCAGAAAGGAGCTTTTCATTCACTGTCTTGAGCACTTCAGTAAGTCTGAGTTTAAGTGACTGTAAGTGAACTGTACCCTTTTATTTGCAAAGTACATAGGAAAAACCTTTCTAGAATTTGGTAGGAAAACTTCTTCACACCATTTTCTAAAGCCTTCTGAACTCCCCTTATACATACCTTCATCACACATAGCAAGTGAAGACCTCTCAAGTCACAAAACTTAGATCCTTTAAAACATACCCTCTCTCCAGAACAACTCACTGCAAGTAGAGTTACAGCAGCATGCCAAGCACTTTGCAGAAAACTAATGCAGCATTTTCTCCCTGAAAATACTGTTGAAGTCATACTGCAGCCACTGCTCCAAAACACTACTATCCTCATTAAGAACCAGCGCAGTTGGAGAGGAGGTAAGGGAAGAAAAGAGACATACAGCACCCTGCAGTAGTCAGACACAAGCAAAAGCTGTCCAGGCTCCAAGCCTGCCAAGAAAGATCATACATGTCATGGACCACATTAAAATGGATTTCAAAAGCCATCTAGGTTGCAACAGCTCAAATACATGACAGATTCTGCCCATCACTACAGCTGCAAGTAAGAGAACATGACATTTTTACAACAGTCATCAATACACTTATCGGTCCAAAGCACTGACACTACCAAAAAGCATTTACAGTTGCAAAACCAAAGAATGTGTGTAATCCTTCTATTGAGCTCTAACAAAGACTCTTCTGGGAACTGTTTAGAGGCAAAAGATTCATCAGATATGCCACAGGATATAAAAACAAAGCAAATAGTTCTTTCCCTGAGAGAAACAAGTTTGTACATGGTCAAAACAATAGCAATACTATTATTACTGCCACCCAGGCTTCATAGAGAGCACTCTGTCATCAGAACTCTCTTCTTTACAAGACAGATCAATACACTAAGAACACAAGGAAATGAAGATAGCAAAGGAAGCCTTGAACCCAAGAGGTAGGATAATATTTCAACTCTCTCATTTAACAAAATTATTTGGCTGAAAAATTCAAAACTTACCTGCTGTAGCTTTCGGAAAAAACCTATGAAGGCATCACTGTGGGTAATATTCGAATCTGAAGTAACTGAAAAGCAAGAGGAAAACAGGGAGGGAGGAAACCAAACTTAGTTTAAAGATTAAAAACATGTCTAGTGTCTAAAAACAAGATGTATACAACATGAGCGTTGGTTAAACTGTCAGTGCTACTTTACTCATCGTTTGGTTTCTGCACAGATACCTTCAATAGCCTGTCAAATCACTGAAGCTATGAACAGTGCAAAATACATGTAGTGTTGCTGTTCTCCCAAAGCAAGACTACAGTAAGGTTCCCGGCCACGTAACATCATGGTCACTCATGGCCAGTAACTCTAAAAGGAACTGTTGAATACTCAAATGAAAATGATAAAATAATCACTAAGTAAGATTTTAAAGACTAATTCTGAGTCTGTTTTGTAAGTCTTGGCTCAAAGTATCTGAGACATCAGAGGCTACAAAACTTCTTTAAGCTCAGTCCTTCACACGCCTTTCTTTTTGGGTAGGTGAAATGGTTATATTTTTTTATTTCTCAGCTTATATGAAACTCACAAGATGAATTCTAGGGATCCTGCAGACCTGGTTTAAAACACAACACATTGCACCTGAGATTTAGTTTTTCTACAACCCCCTGTTATATTTCTCACAAGTCTGCCTGGAAACCCTTGAAGGAAAGAGGTTTAGGTAGAGCCCAGTTCCATATTACACTTCTACCAGTCCGAGTGCCCGTCTTTTTTGCCTCCCTCTTTTAACGATCAGCCATGAGCTCTCACACTCTGGCCCTGTGTCAGCTCTGGCAGTTGCAAAGCAGCAGGGATGGGTGGCTCAGCTCACAGCCGGAAGAACAGAGAATGGCCAGACTACAGGCTGCCACCAGAACGCCAAGTTGGCTTAAGTTTAGTGTGAAACTGAACACTTACATTTTGGGAAAGCTGCAGAAAGGCAGACGCTTCAGAAATAAGAGAAAAATGATATGCTGCTGTTCTAGAGCCAGTGAACCAACAGACAAGACAGGGCTTAGCCCCAGCCTTTTAGATACACCCCTACTCAGCTCAGTATAGAAGGTAAAGCACCCTGCAGTCACAGATGCAGACATCCTCAAAGGTTTAAACCCTATGTATGAAAGCTGGCCAGGTTGTTATAACCAAGCTCACCATTCTGAAGGTACTGCTCCAGCTGAGATCTCCTCTCATCTGCCATCGACTTGGTCATTGCCAGGTAAAACTTTGGAGGGAAAGCAGGCACGGCACTTCCAAAAAGCTGCCTCAGCTGCAAAACAGTGGAAGGAAAGTTCCAGATCAGTGAAAAAGAATTCATAGTTTCCAAGGAGCTTTCAATGCTCTCTTGTTTTGACAGTGAGACATGATGACAAAGGGCATGGGGCACTCACCCCAGCACCTCCCTGATGGTCCTCAGGGCCCAGCACAAGGGCAAAGACTTTGCCCAGGCAGTCACCAGAAGACAGCCCAAGTGAGCAACCTCTTTTGATGGGTTTCTCATTTTTGCAGTCTTACCACTTGGAGCTCCTGCTCCAAGCCAGGAAAGTAGCATTGTATTAACCTTATCATCTAGGTCTTATACACCTCATGGACAAACAAGATATGGTTACAGATGTTTTCTCTTCCCAATATGTCCATATAGGATTTCTTTGTTCTGTACCCACAGAACTACTTTTTAAGAGCTGGTGACTTCTACCCTTAACCTGTGCTACCTCAGAGGCTTTTACTATTTTGTCTGTGAGAGGTAGTAACTTTTATCAGATAACCTGATATTGTCAAAGGTAAAAAAAAACAACAAAAAACAACCCACCCAAACCACCAGAGAATCATTTAGGAACACAAGCTATCTGAAAGTTTGAATCTTGCTCCAGTTGCATCAGCTGGGTAGTAAGAGCATAACATCCCTGTACAAACACTACCTACCTCATTTTTAACAGATCTGAAATGACTAGAGAACCACAATTACATTATCTTATGTTAACATAAGACACTTCCAGTATAGGTTTTGGCATTAGCTGGTCACTTGAAAGCATAAAAATGGTCTGCTCTAGGCAAATTATCCCAAGAGAAGGATGAACTTCCCAATATGCACATTACTAAACACAGCAAAATACAGCAAGTTTGCCTGGAAAAATTCCTTCACCTAAATCAAAATAATATGGTATCTGATCAGAAAAATACTACTCCTATAGTATGCTGAGATTACTACTAAATTTTAAGCACCAGTATTCAATTCAGCAATTAGTGTCACTAAATCCTGTGAAAGATGACATTTTCCCTCTGGCTACAGCTGCCCAAGTCTTTCCCTCTGGCTCCAGCTGCCCAAGACTCCAGCAGCTGAAGCTTGAAAAAAAAAAAAAAAAGTTACTATTGCAAGAATTAGCAATACCCTTTCCTGTCTGTTGGCTTAAAACAGGAGTGAGGCATATTCTTACAGCTCCACTTTCCCTACATTGACAACACACTGTTACTTCTGAGTTCTTGATTATTAAGATACACGTGAATCTCTGAGATACACAGCATAAAAGTGTTAGATAACACTACATGCTTTGGTTTTATGTAAAGCTAACAGTAATAGCTAGTATAGAGTGCTTTATATCTTCAAAGTCCTTCACATATGTGATCTTCCCCCAGGGACTGAGAAGTATTATCTCTGCTCTACAGGCAGGCAAACGAAGAAGATACAACAAAAAAATTTGCCAGACATCAGAAAGCCAGAGCTGCACTGACAACAAGGAGGTCTTCTCTCTTCCCTCTGTGTTCAGGCCATGCCTCACCCACACAAAAGTGTTGCTGTCTGTTATCATCAGTTTGCACAAGCCAAGACTCTGGCCTACTTAAAAAAATAACTAATTTATCTCAGTGCCAGCTACTTGGTAAGTTTCTTGAAATGCAATTGTGCATCCTCAGGATTTTGGCTACAGAGAAGAGAAAATTCTCAGAGAAATAAAGAAAAATTCCTATCAACTTTAAGTGTGTATTTGTGTACAGTGCTATAAGTCTACCAGACTAATCAGCCACCAGCATGAAATTTCATTCTAGCAGAAAGAAACTTACAATATTTGCCTTCACAAATCCAATAGCCTAGGCTATATTTTAAATGCAAGTCAACAGCTACACTGTAGCTAGAGGTGCCAACAAAATCTTCCAACCACTTTTTTGAGGCTCTGGGTTTGTTTCTGCAACCTAATGCCACTCCCCAGAAGACACATGGCTCAGCCCCAAGCCAGGGTGCCCTGTGCACTGCTGTTTTCCCTTGACTGGACCTACTTGACCAAAGAGATACTTCCAAGCCATCCTGCTCCACAAGCTGTCCAAGGGGAGGACTCCCATCCTTTGGCCTTGGCATGCCTAACTAAACAGCTTCTTTGCAGACACTATGCACAGCTCCCAACAACACTGCACAGTAGTCACCTGGGCCTGTCCAGCCTCACAGCCCATAACCCAGCACCAAGGCTGGGCACAGCTCCACTCCCAGCTCCCCACCCCAGAGGCAGCTTCAAGAGCAAGTGGCAGGAAAGCCCACAGGAGGCTGGATCACAAAAACAAGCTTAAATCTGACTGTGCTAGAACCCCAGGCAGGATGTTCCAATCTGGTGGAAGTGGTACTTACTCTTCCTCCAAGATTTCCACCTAAAATACATAGGGCAGTTTTCCCAAATATGATAGTTCTAAGCTCTAAGAGTTAATCCGGCCAAAAAAGGGGAGTAAAGACACATGCCATAGTTGGTGCTGTTTCTTCATCTTTCTGCAATAAACATTCCCCTCCTCAGCAGGAGACATCATCAGTTTTAAAGTGTAGCTGACCATCTCCTACTTAGTTTAGTCCCATGGGTTTACTTTTTGGTGTCAGGTCCTGCCTCCTGCCTATGCTGTCTAGACAAACTATTTCACCCAGGGCCATGCTCCATCATAGGTGTGCAGTCAGACAGAGCATCAGGAACAAAAGTGCTATCCTGAAAAAAAATAGAGCAGCATTATAACTATAAAGCTACTGTGTATGGATTATCTAAAGAATAAACAGGCCTCTGGACATTTCCTTCTCAGTTACCTTATTAACTATTAAAAAAAAGGAGACACCATTCTAAGATTAAAAAATGTTTAAACATGTTTCATGTGAAAATTAGAATATATGTATGCAGAAATTTTCCAAGCAATTAAAAGGTATGAGACTATGCTGCTACATGACTGGCTAAATGAAGTTTAAAAAAACATTTTCTATATTAAATTCCTTTTTACCAATTGTTTTGTTGTGATTAACAGATTTTTTTAAAAAACTATTTTCCCAACAGTTGTTCACAGATACTGCTGACTCAGTAGAGGCTGGCATCATGACCAGAATTCATCAGTGTTGCATTTCATTCCTAATCTTACAGAGGACACGTCCTACTTACGCACTGCCTTGAAGTAAACTAGTGAATACTTCAACAATAATCTGTTCCCTAGGTTCATTATGATATGAAGGATGTGCTAAGCAGCTGCCAAACTGAAAAGCCAAATGCAAACATCAAAGGTGGAAACCAGGGACAGCAATTGTTCAATTTGCCTCTATTTGAGGAAATCCAGTTAAATTTTTAGTGCACAAACCATTGACCAGGTAATGTCTAGCCCCACTCTAGAAGTTTCTGCCACTTGTATATTCTTGCAAGAGATCCTTACCTCTCCATAAGCAGAGTAGAGACCACAGCTCTATCAGGGTGCTCTGGTCAGTGTGCAGTATCCACAGAACTAAAGCCAGAGGAGAACACAGCTACAGTACAGAGCACTGCCTAGCTGTCCTTGTATAAATCTAGGGCCAAAGCTTAGATCCGTAAAATGCACATCCATCTGCCATTGACATTCCTGCTGAAGTTGTTCACTGTCATTTGCAGAGAATGGCTACACAAGTCTTAGTTCAGAAAGCGCAAATGATAAGGAATGCTGCCTAACGTCTGTGCTGTTCATCCTGAGCAAAGGGAGACTGGTCCTTCAGTCATCCTTCCTATGGCTAATGCTTAATATCTAAATACCCAACACAGAAGGGAATGAAAACTGGATTTCCCACAATTGAATGCTCTAGCTCCTAAAAGAAGGGGCAAAAGGGGAGAAGGCAGAACCATCTCTGGCCCTCTTACAGCCAACACAAATCCCCATCTCCCAGAGGAAGGTCAAGGGAATAAATCCTCAGACCAAGACAGGCACCTTCTGGCAATTCACAGCCAAGTGCCTGTCTCCACAAGAGAAGGGCTAATGCTGCACTGCTCTCCTCAGCATTTCTGCCAGTCCTGTCTAAGCAACCCCTTCTAAGCAAGATGTCTTTTAGGATATTTTTTGGTTGTTCACGCCTCCCTCTATACCATTTGGCTTGGGTGCTCAGTTTAAGGCTGAGAATCCTGTTTGGAGATAAGGAAATGTTGCTCGGAGTTAGTATACCTTCACCTCCCCATTCAACAGTGTATCCAAAACCTCGTATGCTCCATTACACTGCACTGCCTCTAAACAGTTGCTTCCTTCAGACAGTCCTTTTGTAGAGAAAAACTGCTCTGAGAGACAGCAAGAAACAGAGTTTAGGAGTGTCAAACAGAAGCATTCTCAGAATATAAAGTGATGGGGAGCAGGAAAATACACAGGAAGAGAAAAGGGGCAGGTAAGGCACAGCATCACAAAAGTTATGTGTCCTGATTTTGTATCACAAGTTAGGAGAGGAGCTCATAGAGGTGGAATAGTAGGGCTTTAGAAATTGCCCTCTGAAGGAGATCAGAGGCACAACTAGTCCAGCATCACATCCAGCAGAGGTCAGAGAGCCCCTCCAGAGTAGCATCCAGGAAATACCGTCAAGTATAATCATGCAGAAATCTGTCCATGGGGGAAGCTTATTTCTAATTCACATCCTGCAGCCATCACAGAATTGCTGTATCTGTGGGGCTTTGTGGACACCACGCCTGATCTGAGCAGGAGGGTGAAATTACTGTATTCTGGAGTTAAGACTTCTTGTATGTGTGCATTTTTCTACCTTACAGGGTATTTCAAGCAAAATAAGCAGAACAGGATATAATAATTACAGACCAGCAACCTCACATAAGTATAGGGAAGACAATTAAGGGACAGCAGTGTAGTTGTAAGCTTCAAGACCAAGTATGGCAGTTACCAACAGCAGGAATGAGGGAATTAAAAATAAGAATCAGCTAACAAGTTATAAAGCCCAGCAAGAGGCAAACTGTCAGTTACAGAGGACAGGGAGGAGGGAAAGATTTTGCCAAGAGCATTAATGAAGTTAAAACATCTTGAGCAAGAAACAGTAAGCCTTAAAGAAAAAGCAAGGAAGTACATAAGCTGGTTTATTAGTTCAGATATGTTATCCAAAATGCACCATTAATCAAAGCAAAATATTACTGTGAGAGCTCCCACAGGGAAAGGAATTGCAGAGCTGGAGCACAAGAGCACACTGCTGCAAACATCGCTAGCCATGGCAGCCCTACTACTAACTGAACTGCTTTCAGCTGTGCTTCTCCAACTGTTTTTTGCAGTCACACAGAGTTGGAGAGATAGACAAATCCCCACCTGGGATTACCTGGTTGAAAAACTGCTCCAGAGTGGTCCTATCACTGCAGCTGAGAGCACAGGAAGGAGGCTGCCAAAAGAAGGAGCAGCTACCTAACCTACTACCATGAGAACCATTCATCAAACAGGGCCCTAAAATAGGGTTATCAAGGTAAAATAAGGCTGCTCAGCAGAGACGACAGTGTGCATCTAGACTGACGGAAGAACTAGGAGAGATTTCACCTGGACCCAAGGACTGGCAAAAGCCAGAGAGATCAGGCTAGCAAAGAGAAGGCTGACAGCCACTCTGCTTCCATGAAAGAGATCAACATGACATGCTCTCTTGCAACAAAAAAACAAAAGCAGAGATAAACAGGCAGATTCACTTTAAATAATCCAGTTTGGATTATTGATACCCACTATTCCTTGGAATACTCCAGGCTTGTGTTCCTGCTGTTTTGTAACTGCCTAGTATTTGCTTGTGTGGAAAGGGTCACTCCTGAGGTATCTGCTCAGGGAGCTTGGGCCAAGGGTTCCAACACTGGTTAACCCCTGGCTTTTCAAAAAACCCTACAACTGACTGCAATTTGCCTGGACTGACCTCTAAACACTTTCTAGAGTTGTTCATAGGATTAAAGACCCCAGCAAAGCAGTTGCACCTCTCTCCTAGAGGCCAAGGAAAAGAGGCACTTTGAGTCCACAGCTGCTGCTGCTCGACCAATGTTTCCCATTAAGCCAGTTTACCACACTCTTCTGCCACATCCCTTTGCTTTTTTTTTTTTTTTTTTTTATTTTTGGATTTGCCTCTCAGTTGCTGCTGGATTGCACCCTGCAAACAGAAGTGCCCCGCAAGCTGTGGCTCAGCCCCTCTGACAGCACAGCATCGGGGTCATCAGGCAGGGCACGGGCCGGGACCAGGCACCTCTTCCCTGGGGTGTGAGCACGAAGAAAAGT